CGAGGCAAAAGAACAGGCAACTTACTACCTCAAATACAAAGAAGACCTGGCAGAAGCAAAAAAGCTGATCGTCGAAGAACACGGAAAAGATGAAGATGAGGATGATTTATTCGAAAACAGGAAAAACCAGTTCAATTATTCAGAAAGAGCGGCCCAAACCTTCAACAACCCTTTAAGAGAACGTTGCATCTCTACAAAACCCCCCGCTGTGGTCAACTTTTCTGGGACAGTTTCACAATGGGAAATCTATGACAGATACATGAGCGACTATGCTATGCAGGTGGCCGAGCAGGAATTGCTCAAAAACCAAGAGAAAAAGAAATCTAATTCGGGCAATACCACGAACAGCGGGCCGCAGAATACCAGTGGTTCGAAGGAGGATGACATGGTACACTCTCAGCGCATGGGCAATGCACTAAAGATCCTGGAGCGCATGGTGAACCAGAACGCAGATGATGAGATATTTCAGGACTTTAAATACTGGGAGGATGCGTCAGATGCCTTCCGCGATGGCGAAGGGTCTCTTCTACCTCTCTGGCGCTTCCACACGGAGCGATCGAAGCGCAAGCAAGTAACTGCGTTGGCATGGAATCCGAAGTACCCTGATCTCTTTTCCGTCGGATATGGTTCCTACGACTTCATGCGCCAAGGAAGTGGTATGGTGTGTTGCTTTTCCTTGAAGAATACGAGCTATCCCGAGTATACCTTTACAACAGAAAGTGGGGTCATGTGTCTGAACTTTCACCCAGAGCACTGTTCGCTACTCGCAGTCGGTTGCTATGATGGTATTGTTATGGTATACGATGTGAGACACAAAGGCAACCGGCCAATCTACGCGTCTTCAATCAAGACGGGGAAGCACACTGACCCGGTGTGGCAAGTGCAATGGCAGATAGAGGATCTTGCCAAGGAGCTGAATTTCTTCTCCATTTCTTCAGACGGTCGTGTTGCCAATTGGACCATGTCAAAAAACGAATTAAAAATGGAACCAGTAATGCAGCTTAAATTGGTCAGCACATCGAAGGATGATCCGGAGGAAACACTTTTATCTGGTCTAGCAGGCGGTTGTTGCTTTGACTTCAATCGCGTCTCCGAGCACCTCTTTATTGTCGGCACAGAGGAGGGAAAAATTCATAAGTGTTCAAAAGCGTATTCAGGTCAATACCTCGAGACTTACCTCGGTCATCACATGGCGGTGTACACGATTCGATGGAACCCGTTTCACCCTCGAGTGTTCATATCATGCTCGGCCGATTGGACTGTCAAGCTTTGGGACCACAACATTCCTACGGCCATCATGTCTTTTGACTTGGGGAATGCGGTTGGCGATGTCGCTTGGTCTCCTTACTCGGCAACCGTGTTCGCCGCTGTGACGTCTGATGGGAAGGTGCATGTATTTGATCTTGCAGAAAACAAGCATGAGCCGCTTTGTGAGCAAAAAGTTGTAAAGCGTGCAAAACTCACACACGTGGTCTTTAACCAGCGGGATCCGATCCTTATAGTGGGCGACGATCGTGGAGGTTGCAATTCATTGAAGCTTTCACCAAACCTGAGGTTAATTCACGATCCCCTGGGTGAGGAACCTGGTGCTACACTAACAAAAGAAGTCACGACGCAACGCCAGATCGACAATATGGATCGGCTCCTGGCCTCAGTCGACACGAAACCTGTTGGTCAATGATATCGAGCGACATTGAGCATTGGGAGGCTGGAATGATCATCCTGTAGCGCAATGTAGACCACGCAGGGAGAAGAATTGGGAGAAGAATTGGGCTCTGTCATGTGTATATAAGCAGCAATATGAACTCGGGTCCTGGTTACCAGGGTCTCCGATGTTTGTCTGCGGCAAGGTCAGCTCGGAAAGTTTCTTGAACAGCTGTCGGGACGGGGGCAATACCGTTCAAACATAGTACGAAGAACCCTCACGTGTCTTCAAGTTGCGCTTGTTCAAGCAGTGGGACAGATCAGATTGTCCTACTGAGCTGACAGGGGCAGACGATGCATGGTACTCTGTTCTTCTAGACTACCGGTCGTGACAAAGCCCAGTGGTCAGACTACGTCCGGGCAACCCCTCGTAAGTGCGGTCTGGGGTGTCCTTAGACGACCCTAAACAAGCCTGTTTACCATGGGCCCAGGCCGGGGGGTCACTTAGAATCCTCGGCCGGGGCGCAACTTCAGCCTAATGAGCCTAGTCGCTTTAGGGTGAAATAGCCCAAAGTAACAGCGGACATTGAAGTCCACGATAGGGGAGGGTCAGTGCCATCTCCATAGTGTGACGTCGCGACGGTAGTGGAGCAGCGTAATGTAAATTATGGGGATGATGGTGCGGCGCGGTCCGTCGGCCTTCATTCTGGCATTCTTAGTTTAATTGAGCTCAGCCTCCCTTCGAGGGAGGAGTTACCTTGCTTCCTTTAGTGGGAGATACGAAAGGCCAAGTGGACGGAATTTGCATTTACGGCAATACAATATGTTTCCGGTAACGAGTTAGTGAGTTTAGACCACAGACTAGCACTTCAAGGGGAGACAAATCGATCTGCCGACGCCGGTGTCCCTGCGAAATAATCACAGCGCCGTCGCGCTGGATTATTTAATCTACGTCGGCTAGAAGGGACGCCGGAGGCTGGCCGGCGCCGGCAACCTGCGCGCCGATTTAATTCCATTTAAAATCAACCATAGCCATTGAATTTCGTCAACATTGGCGATGGTTGGTCCAAAAACACCATGATGGCATATTAAATCATGCGCCATCTGGCAGTACGGGGGCCGCGCAGGTCGCTCTTAGATTAAATCGTAGCCCGATCATCAGAAAACGGGACCTCCGAAACCATAGCGCAACTCTGACTTCTATGGAAGGTAATTTGCCCTCAGCCTGACTCCTGACTAGGGTATGGTAATAATTAGTTAGTAGACTCCCTACTCAAGTAGGCAGACCACTCTCCGATCGGGGCTCTCTGTCCTCAATCGCTGGAGTTAAGTGAGTAAGAAAGAAAAGGGGCAACGTCATGGAAATCCAGATATGTATCCTACAAATAAAACACCCGCCCTGCCCTACCCTCCTCCGTCCCTGCTGAGGTGGCTGCGCCACCCAAGCGCGGTCCGTCGGCCTTCATTCCGGCACTCTTAACTGAATTGAGCTCAGCCCCCCCCTTGAGGGAGGAGTTTACTCTGCTTCCTTTAGCTCACGCTAGTGGGAGATACGAAAGGCCAAGTGGACGGAAATCCGGATCTATATTAAGTGGAGCCTGGTACAATTCACCTAACATTTCTGAATCCAGCTTACCAACGATTGCCAAGGGGCTGTCACGCCTCGCCATTCATATACCTCCATATACGTCTCCAGTGATTGCAGCGTACGTCATGCAGTTCCTAGGCTTAAAGAAGCGTGGAGCTATTAAAACGGCCGTTCAAGAAGACTTCGAAAAAGTGGCGAGTTGAGCATAGCAGCAAGTTTCCTGGACCAAGAGAGCATAGGTGGTTCCCAAGAGTGCGGATGAGGCAGCTCGTTTAAGAAAGATCCTCTCTCGCAATTATTTATTTAGTGAGCTGGCCACTGGGCAGCTCGATAATGTTGTTGAGGTGCAGGGGAACGCACTAGAGTCAATGGCATTAACTTGCTGGCTAGGTCATGAAACCGCTCAAGTTCAGCGGGAACGAGGATGTCATTCGGCAAGGTGATATTGGAAAACACCTTTACGTCCTTGTAAGTGGGCATTGCCAGGCACAGCTTGAGAGTCTCGATATACGGTCATATATATATCATATTTGGAAGACTAGGTTCTTGTAGATGGGAAACTTCTCGCCGAATACTTTGATACTGGATGTTTTGGTGAACTTGCGCTGGTGTATAACGCCCCCCGGGCAGCAACAGTACGAACAACTGAGGAGAGCGATCTGTACAGCCTTGACGTGGGGTCGTTTCGTCATGTACTTCGCGAACAGGCTGGGGCCCGTGAGACTGCAGCAGCGTAATTACCTTTGACCTACTTTCGAACTACTATTCTCATGAAAGGCGAACGCGCACACTTGGCGTGCGTGAAGGAAGTGCCGCTCTTGAAGACGCTGGATTCGCGCAAACTCACCGCGCTGGTAAAATCGCTTGAGCTCATCAAATTTAAAGACGGTGCTAAGATAATACGACAAGGGGATGAGGGAGATGCGTTTTATATCATCGAGTCCGGCTCCGTTACTTGTATTCGAGGCAGTGTTTGATGAGCATCGACTTCATCTTTCAAACTTTGAAAACGCAGGCACTCGAGTGAACACACGCGGTGAACAAGAAGAGCTAGCGACTCTCACATCGCCGGATTGTTTCGGGGAAATGGCGCTCATGGACAATTCCCCAAGGCATGCGACAGTCATAGCCAAAGGTGAGGTTCACTGCCTTACGCTTGATAGAGCTCACTTTGTTAAGCTCCTTGGTCCTCTGAAGAGCATCCTACAAGCGCATTCGTGCCTTCATGTGCTACGTTCTATCGAGCTTTTTTCTGAATTAACAGATGCAGAGTTAGATTCAATAGTAAATGCAATGCACTCAGAGAAATTTGTTCGAAGTACACCAATAATCAAGGAAGGGAAGAAAGGGACCACCTTTTATGTCTTGCAAACGGGTACTGCTGAAGTGAGCAGAGATGGGGTGAGCATTGGGCAGCTTCAATCAGGAGACTACTTCGGCGAGCGTGCACTTATTGATGGTGCTCCTCGAAGTGCATCTGTTTACGCAACCGATGATGTTGTGTGCTACACTCTAGAGCGAAAAAAGTTTGAATCTCTACTCATAAACACGGCTGGAACAGCTGGAAAGTTTGAGGAGGAAATGCGACGTCGACAGAAAATTACCAGGTCGAAATGTTCTGGAAGTGGAGCTTTGATTGGTCTTCAGTCGGTGCCTGCTATGCTGCAGTCGAGATCATCTGAAAGGTTGCGCACGCATAGGGACCGAAAGTGAGCCTCTGCTAGCAGAACTCAAGGTCTGCCGTTTGCTCGGTCAAGGTACATTTGGTAGGGTCAAGCTCGTGGAACATCCACAAACTGGAGGCGTGTCACTAATTAATTCGGAGTTTGGCGCGAATATGACGGGGTTTGAAAAGCTTAAAAACAGGTACACGCTCAAGTGTATGTCGAAGGTGCAAGTGGTAAAACAGCAGCAAGAGAAAAATGTCATTGCTGAGCGTGACCTTCTTTACGAGTGTGCATCCACATTTGTTCTGAAGTTACACACCTCGTATCAGAGCCCGGATGAACTTTTTTTGCTGATGGAACTCATCCAAGGAGGTGAACTTTGGCAGTACATATATGAAAAGAAGCATTTGATCACGCGGTCGGCCCTTGGTGGCTTGACGACAAATGCGGCTCAATTCTATGCTGCAGGGTAGCGGGGTGTGCTCTTTCTTCCTCCAAAGCCAAACTTCATGCCCTAGGCTTGTGTAACATCGGCACTGCACTATGTGCACAACAAGGGTGTGGCATATCGTGACTTGAAGCCAGAAAATTTGTTGATGGACTCTGGTGGATACCTCAAGATGATTGACTTTGGGTTTGCAAAGAGGATTCCGTACTTTAAAAAAGGCAAAGAGATGTTGCAAACGTTCACTCTTTGTGGAACACCAGAGTAAGAGTCTCAGTTCTTGGGAACCATCAGCGTCTCTGATATATCCACTCGAGTTTAGTCTGGAGCCACGTTTGAAGGTACATTGCTCCTGAAATTCTCCTATCGAAGGGACACGACAAAGGTGTGGATTGCTGGGCCTTGGGGTGCCTTACATACGAGCTTTTGTGTGGACGCACCCCGCCTGGACCCGCGCACCACCATCTCAGAAGAATCAAAAGCTAATTCCTCTCCACTCAGGTTTGTCCATGACGACCAACAGCAAATTTTCCGTGCTATTGTACAGGTTCTCATACTGCATCATCGGGCATCATGGTTACGAGTTTCTCTGCAGGCTAATTCAAAACTACGCTTTCCGATGGGTATGGATGCAGATGCCCAAATGCTTATCAAAGGGATGCTAGAGGTCAACCCTGCACGACGCCTGGGGAATTTAAAGGATGGCCTTTCCGCTGTACCTGGGTCCACATGGTTTCAGGCTACCAAATTTGAGTGGACTGCACTTTCTGCTCGGAGCGGCACGACTCCATATCAACCACCTGTGAAGGACGCGAAAGACACCTCAAACATAGACATCATTCGTGATGAAGAAAGCATCCCAAAGTAGGCCCGTGGAACCTTTTCGTGATGATCGATTCATTTCAGGTATCGCGGTAATCAAGATGTCTTCCGAAATTTCTAATCAGATCTTGGAAGAAGATCGTTTTATTAATGCGCATATGTTCGGTTAAGCAGCGATCTGGCACAGTATACATCCGTGGAAGAGCCGGGCGTAAAAAAACGGGGCCGCAGAACTCTGAAGTCGCAGAACTCTGAAGTCGCCTGAATTCAGTACGCGCATTGTTCTAGAGGGCGCCTGTCGGTGGTCTGCTTCACTCAGTCCGTAGACAATTCGTATTGTGGGAGAGTGCAGATGACAAGTTATGATCAACCAATACCCAAACCAGGACCACTTCTATATTCAGGTGCGATTGCGATCTTCTTCCTCCATCGTCTTTAGACTCTACGTGTGATCTCGCTAGCCATTGGTCTGTGGGGAACCGTGCTAAGTCTGCCTAGTGTAGTCGAGTCCATTTTTTTGAATTCACGTTGTGGGATTAGAGGGGGACACCGCGAGCTAGCGTGCAGCCCCGCAATTTCCCCCAGCCGCGGCATAAACCGTGGAGACTCTCGGAATAAAGTAGCCAACTACTATCCAGCAGGTGCGCTGTCCGGCGACTGTGCAACCTCGCTGGGCCTGGTGCTCTCTGGCACGCCGCTGTGGCGCTAACCAGACAGACACCGCATTTGTATCGTCACACTCAACTTCATTGCTGAACCCACAGGAATACAGCCTTTGCGGTGATGGTCCTGCAGACTTAAGCGTCCCCGAACATGATGTTCCTGACAGCCCTCCTCAGTCTTCTCATGCTAAGCTAAATATTGCGAAGATGCCTTACAAACAAGGAATGGCAAACAGGGCCACCAGACTGGTGCAAGATCACCGTCGTCGTGGACTATCGCCACCTATTCCTTCCTGTCAGACTACAGTTAATACGGCCCCTTCGTCTGTAGTACTTGGCGGCTCGTTTGCAGACCGGTCGCGCTTGTCTCTTGTAGTGGAACTATTAGCTTGTGGCGCAATCCTATATCATGTGCTATATGCTCGAAGCTTTTGAGAACAAAATACTCTACATGGATCTTCATTATTGGCTTACGATCCAGGGGGAGTAGAGAGATAGAGAGTTTTGTATCTCCCTAGTGGCTCGCTGGTACAGAGCCACCCAATATCCTTCCCCTTTTCTTAATACTTTCTAACCCTGTTATAGTTGCTTCCGCACTGTAATAGACGGAGAGTCTTCCTGGACCTAGTGAGGCAGATCCTCTGCCCGTTCGTCCAGTAGCCCCGGCCCCCGTATACTACGGCAGCTGAGGTGACGTGAGGATAACAGAGACGCCGGTGTACCGCCACTGCGTAACCTCGATAGTTCACCCTCACACGGCAGGGCAGCCCCACTAGGCTGCCTCCCCGTGTCGGAGTTTACTATCTCGTTAGCAGTTCACAGATGCAGCTCACTACGAGGGTAGAAACCTCTCTATCTCTCTAACATCTTGAACTCACAAAGTTTAAGCGGCAATACCCTCACTTTTTACATGACCAGAAAAGAAGCTAATGGGCTGGTGTCTACAGCGACGCGCCAGATAGCACCAGGCTCAGCGAGGTAGCTTAAAAGGACCCCGGGAAATTCTCCTGTATCTACCTTCCTGTTAATCTCACTGATAATTCTCCCTTGATTTCCTTTGGTGGGGTGCAATAGATATATTTCACCTGGTCGCCTGGTCTGATCTCGGCTCGCTCGCCGGCGGCCTTCACCCTGAGATACAAAACTACCAAAGGCCATCAAACATGCATCTGCGGGATGACCTGCGTGCATCAAGGCAAATTCACCTCGGGCCCCGGATCGCCCCGTAATCCTCTGGAAGCTACGGCTGTAAGGGCCCGTCAAAATTGGACTCCAGACCAGGGTATCGGCTTCGAAGGTTTCGATTACGAACCCGCCGCGATTCCACCAGCGTTCGCCAGCGTCTGCGGCGATGTGGTCGTGCACGGGCGATTAGAAACTCGAATTGCAAAACCGTCACGCTTCGCGCCTGTACCCGGGTATTTAGTGAGGCCCATCTTCAAGTTTGAAACCCCAGGCGACTCCGATGAAGATCGGAGTGATCGAGCTGACCTTGCTGCAGGGTGCCCTCGGCGAAAGCGCTGTAGAGGCCGGGCTCGAAGGTGGGCTAGAAGGATGAGCGTAGACACTGGCACTATAGCCCAGATCAGAGGGAGACTGCGCTGCGAAACCGCCCATAAAGCCACCGTGTGGACGCTTTGTCCGTCAATGTTTCAACTGATCATGTTTAGTTGATCGAATGAGACCGACGGTCGTTGCCTGGGCCGGGCCCTCATCATCAAGCAACTCGGCCTGGGAGGCGAATGGAGGTCTCCTTGCGTCCTGGCGCGGATAAGACCATCATGACCATCAGTTATATTAGATGGGAGGATATGACGAATTGCTAACCCGCTCGCTACCTGAAACATGAATTATGCCATAAAAGTAATTTTGAGAGACTGCGCATTCACAGCTCTGAAGCGGGAAGCTCGAGATTCTGGAGCAATATTTCCTCAAGGTAAGCACCAGAAACGTTCAGGTCCCCAGGGTCGACGACCACAAAGCGAAGCTCGCATGCAAACAGACTCGAAACAATCCCAACTGCTGGGTAGGTGCGAAACACGACATAGCACGAGCCGGTGGACTCGAATGGGAGGATCTGTAGCGGCACTTCTGCATGATGAGCATACAAGTCGGCATCACCAAGGGGCTCGACACGGACACGTACATTTTGCAATTGCTGCCCCCTCGCATTGTTTGTCACGTGAAACTGTAGAACTACATGCGAGTCCAACGCATGTCGCGTACAAGAGACGTGGTAGGCTTCTCCGCCTTCTGTGCACTCACTCAAAACAACCGGTGTGAGGGAGCGTTTCACGCGCCCGAGGCTTGCGAGCTCAGGGACAGCCGACATCGTCGACTGCTGCTTAATCTGCTGCCGTGTGAGCTCATACTTGAGATTTACAAACTCAACTCTCCGCAGGTTGTGCTGAACCAGGGCAGCACGGCGTTCAGACTCTGAAGAACGAATCAAAGCTTCGGTGAATTTAGCATAGCAAGACAGGGACAAATCTACGGGCAGTGCATTTAATACCTTTGCGGGGTGCAGTCGGTTGAGATTGCGATGCATGAAGCCAAGCGCTTTGCCAAGAGCCACTGCGCAAGGCAATGTCGCATCGGTAGTGGAATGTTGAATAACAAGTTGTGAAGCATAAATATTCGCAAGTGTTGTGTACACATCTGATGCGGTGTTTGATAGAATTTCAGGGTTGTGAGGCTCGGTAACGAGACGCGTGTCTCGGGACTGTGTAGCTTCACCCCAGATATTTTCGCAATAGTCCTCTGCAAGTTTGTCATCTCTCAAGCTTATCGCATAGATTTTCAGCACCGCTTTGTGATTTTGCATTCGAGCCAGCACCAAAGCCCTCTCGTGAAGAAAAGTTTCAGGGAGCCAGGAGAGCTGTGCCTTCGCATCGTAGTTCTTGGATCTCATCAGGAACGTGCGGAGCCATTGCCTGTAGATGCTACTGCTCTCGTGGTCAGAGCCCCCTATACGCTTAAGGCCGTCAAGAAGAAGGTACCCAAGTTCGTTATGTAACATGGGCGAATCCTCGCCAGCAGAAACAAGATACTCGAGATAGACGCACGCCACCGCCGCTCCATCATCCAATGCAAGCGACCCCCCCGCCCCCAATTCGCAGCTCAAGCAAGGAGGCACTTGCCAGAAGCTCGGACCAGAAGATTTCTCTCCAGCTTGCACAGCTCGCAATTTTAAATCTTTCATCCAAGTAACCACATCATAAGCAGGAACACCTGAGCAATCATGAGATGAAGATACAGCCGAATCAAAATGAAAAAACAACAACGAGAAGAGTCGTTGTTGCTTTCACGCACTGCACTGCGCCTGCGCCGCCCGTACGTACACTCAAGGGTACCTCGAGTGGATCCTCATCGCCTTGGATATCTACGAGGGTGCCGGTAAAGACTGCAAGACCAAGCGCTGGAGAAGCGGCAAAAACAGAGGGGGCGTGTTCTAGTGCGAGGTTGGTATTCCGCTGATCATCGGAAAACCAGAGCCACTGTAAATACCTTGTCTTCCAGCGAAGGAACTGGACACGATCCCACGCCCCATTGACGTCCCCGCAACAGCGAGTCTCGACAAGGAGTGCTAACGCTCGCTGGTGGGCGTGCTTGCTCCGGTACAGCCACAGGAGCGGCTCTGCATATACTGCCCCGCCTGCAGCTAGCAGGGGAGCGACATACTCAAGCTCACATCGCTGACCTGGGTCCCGCAGTAAGGCAACGACATCTTTGATCCGTGGTGGTGAACACTGCAGCCATACTGCAATCAGCATCGTGTCTACAAGCGCGAGTTGGTCACAGACTGTCTCGGTGTTTTTATAGTCAAGCATGCTGCCCTCTGAGCTGCGTGCATTTAGCCTCCGTCGTGTGATCTCAAAGAATGATGCGATAGCAGCGGCAGCGCGGCTCAAGCTTGCACCGCGTAGGAGAGGCATTGAGCTCAGTGCATGATGCTTCTCTCGCGAGACAGTTTCAAGGACAGCGAATTCCCCGTCGTCACTTCTCAGGCCCAATCTTGTTGACAACTCAGGCGGCCGGATTGACGGAAAGAGATCAGCCACGGCTTGCGGTGCAGTCTCGGCATTAAGCCAGTGCTGCGACGCGCCTTCGAAGTCACCTCGGCTGTATAGCGCGTAAGCATATCGCTCCTCGACCAGCCGTGAGTCGCCGTGGAATTTCCGCGCTGATGATGCACAAAGCGCAAGGGCATCCTCGTACTGCGCGGAGTCCAACAGATTTTGCACTTGATCGTCAACAGAGGTCATGCGTAATACAAACCCCCCGGTGTCACCTAAACAGAAGAGATCATCCAGAGATGGGGTGCCTCCAGAATTCCTAGACCGTGTTTGATTGCTCATATTGCGCATGGCGTCGAGCTTCGAAAGCGGTTTCAATGCCGGAGAAATATCCGTAACGTTCAAGAAGTCTCCAGTATTAGATTCACAATCGTCTGCTAGCTCATCACGAACTCCACCACAGAGTGTAGTTGCAATAAAACCTCCTTCCAGCGAAATCTTCTGAACAAGCGCAAGCGAGGGTATAAAATGAACCTAAGGAAACAACGTTCGCGTTTGGATACTGCAGTGATTGCAGATCGAACCTCCAATGTGTTTCCTAGAAGACCAACGATGAACGCAGACGTGGACTTGAGCATGATGGGTGCTGTCGTCCACGTGATGCGCTCTTCCAGAGGGTTGAGCAACTGAAGGGACGGCAATACTAAGAAGGTGGTCAGAGCGTGAATGCCATAGAGAATACCACGAGACTGTGATGATGCAATAAGCCGCTTTTTGCCCGGTGAAGACTGGCTCCCGGGTATAATCAAGAGTGCCCCTGTACCACCCGGTGCGTCCAATATTTTTCGCATTGGCCAGTCTGATGTTGACCCGTCACATGCTCCCTTAGGGCTTTTACCACCACGTAGGCTGAAGACGCCTCTTTTTTTGGCAGAGACGCTTGTTTCGCCACAGTCATTTGGCAAGTCAATTCTAAAAATGTGAAACGATCGCTTGTTTGCCACGACCATGCAGATATCACTCACACAACATCCCGAAATGGGAGTGTCCGGCAGCAGAAACTCTTTTTTTGCATCTTTTAAACCACCGCCCCGTTGCCAAAAGTATACTAAAGCTTTTTTCTTGAGAAAGAGTACCAGAGTACGCGACGGTACGTGCGCTGAGAAGAATGACACACCCTGAGCATTCTGTACTTGGGCAGTCGCTCTCAAAGAGTTAGAGTCGTAAGCAATTAAAACACCATCGACGACCGCAACCAATACTGCCTGTGCATCGAATATTGCCAACTGTGACACGCAACCTCGGCCTCGAGACTCGTTATTCTTGATTGCCTCGACAGATGCTGAGTCGTGAACTTCAAATTTGGAGCCCTCCCGGCAATCGTAAGCTCTCACTGCTCCCCCAGCTGTTCCCGTGAACAGTCGTGGCCGTTTTCGCTGCGCAGGAGCAACGGTACAGCTCGAAATATGCGGCTCACTAAAATTTTTAAGGGGGAGTGTTTCGAATATGCCCCAAGCGGGATTCATTGGATGTCACGGGCGGTGCGTCTCAAGCTTCAAGGAGGTTAACATTGGACGAGGGAGATGAACATAAAATTACTTTGATATGACATTGCATTCGCGGTTACGATACACCCAGATTTTACAATTAGGGGGCGACACTGAAAGCCCGGGATTTTGCAGGGGCCCAACGGACGCCCTGCGGCCCGGCCGTCCTGCCTAAAGTCCTCCCTCAGTCCCGCGCAGTCCTCCCGGCGGTGTCCCGGCCGCGTCCCGCCGCCGTCCCGGCGCAGTCCCGGCGCGTCCCGGCAGCGTCCTCCCCGCGTCCCGCTCAGTCCCGCTCAGTCCCGCCTCGGTCCTGCCCCGGTCCCGCTTCGTCCCGCAGGTCGCCGTCCCGCAGGTCGCCGCAGGTCGGCGCGTCCTCCGGGAGTCCTCCGCGCGTCCCGGCCGCGTCCCGGCGGCGTCCCGGCGGCGTCCCGCAGGTCGCAGGTCGCAGAAATCCCGCGTCCCGCAGGTCGCGCCGGGTCGCGGAGGTCGCAGGGCGTCCGTTGGGCCCCTTTTTGCCGTCGACGAGCCGAGCTCCGAGACTGCGCCTATCCCGAGGAGCCCGCGTAGGAATTCGAAGACGACTCTCGGTTCGTCCGGATCCGTCCGAATTGAGCGAAGTTATGGTACTAGAAGAGCCCGTTCTTTTCCGCGGAACGCGCGTCGCGGACGCGCGGACGTTTTGAGAATGTTCCTGTGCTGCGGGTCCACGAGGATGGCCTCCAGGAACTTGGCGTAGTGGGGGCGGTTCACGTAGACGGCGATCGACGCCTCGAACTCGAGGTCCTGGCGCCCGCCGGAGACGCCGCGGCGGGACTCGCCGACGTAGAAGGCCTTGGAGTAGTTCGCCTCGAGCCACGTGTGGTAGCCCGTGGTGCCCTTGCCCTTCTCCGTGGACCTTCTGAGACCGCGCGAATCTGTCGAGACGTCGACGCGGCGAATAGCAGCACGCTGGTGACCTGTTTTGGATCAGGACCCAGCAAAGTCTCTCTCTTGCAGAGCGAGCTTTAGGCGCCGACGAGCAGCGCTGCCGTTGCTGCGGCCACTCGGGCCGGCGCAAGGCGCGGGGAATCGAATCCAAACGCCCGCAGGCGCACAGCCGGGCCGACGGGCGGCGACACGGGGCAGCCCAGCCCTCGCAAAACGCTCCCTGGTCCGTCAAGTGCAGGGCACTGTGACCCATTCCGGTCGGGGCGATTTAGTGGGGAGCCCAAACCGGCGCATTCGCCGTACGGCGCCGCAGGACGCAGTTCCCCCAATTTTCGCGTCCCCACTAAACCGGGAAGTCGCTCCAGGGACGCCTCCAAAAACCAGGCGCCAGCGGAGGCGGAGCGGAGCCCGGAGAGCGCCCGGGCTCAGTGACCCCCCCTATTACAATAGTAGTGATTTAGACCACCTACAATAGTAGTGATTTAGACCACCTATCATCATCCATGAGCATGTGCTCGGCCTGCGGCCGCTCGGACTGGTTGATCTTGGCCCACTCGCTGTCGTAGATGGTCTCGAAGTCGGCCTTGGCGTGCCGTCCGACGATCTCGAGCACGGGCGCGTGGAGCATGATCGACCGCGTCCAGCCCCTGAAGAGGGCCTTGTTGGCGTCATGGACGCCGCTCTGCGGCGTGAAGACGATGACGTCCTTGAAGAGCTTGTTCAGCTCGACGATACTGAGGAGCGTCGGCTCGTCGTCGTCGCCGCCGTCCGCGCCAGCGCGGGTCCGCGGCGGCATTGTAGGAAGGCGAGGTGCTGTTGTCCTCGCCGCTGCGCCGCGCGCGGTCCGCGCGGGCGCTGGTGGAGCCTGGACCGGAGCGCGGCGCGGCGCCGGGCTCTGCGGCGGCGCGCGCTCTGGTTCCAGGGGTTATCCGCCGCTCGCGAGCGGTGGATCTGCTGCGGGCGGCGCGCCCTGCGCGCAGGCCTGCAGCGGTGTAGCTGCGCACAGCTAGCAGGTGTAGCGCGGTGGCTCACAGCGCGAAAGCGGGAACATAGCCCAGATCAGAGTGAGACTGCGTTACGGGTATCCTAGGCGTATCCTGGCTCCTCTGAGGTATCCCTCATACGACGATTTCGCCCATTCCCCAAATCACGATCCAACAAAATTTTCCCGTCTCCACTGTAATTTCGTACATCAAGGTGCAGTTCACTAGGATGAGGGTAGAAACCACTCTATCTCTCTATGCGCCTCCGGCACCTAGGTGCCGCAGGTCCAACGCATGCTACCGCGCTTGGAAACTTTGAAAGCTGCCAGTAGTATCGTAGGTTCCACTGGGATAGCATTTAATACTAGTCAGGATATTGGCTGCCCTTTGCTTATTGTTAGGGTATTGGTGGCTCTTTACTTGACTTGTCGCAGAACCTATGCTGGGGCGGAGGCCACTCTATGCCCGGGGGAGCTACGGCAAGGTCGCCCGGGTGTCCTAGGAGATGGCGAAGGGGAATGGGCCAGCTGGGCAAGGAGTGCGCCCCCATAGTAGGCCCCCTCACCACATTTGGCTATGACCTGGACATCTCGGACTTGCATTTGTCGGCGGAGAAGGGCGTTTCTAGCAGTTTAAATAAACCCAGCCTGATTCACCGCAGCAGGGTCCTCTTCTATCCGAGATGCGCTTTCAGGGACAGGGAAAGTCTAGTTTTCGAAACTCATGTTGCTGGCGCGACGTAGTGTAGAAGCGGCTTCTGCAGCGCAGGAGGCAAAAAAAACACGAGATTCCAAGAACATATGCAGGCCGACGGCGGATTCACGGGCGGAGGGCTTCCATGGCTTTTTCGAGGATCTCCTTGCGAATTTTTGGGTAGTCTGGGTAAAGGTTCAAGATCTTGTTACATACGTCTATTGCCTCAACGTGCCTTTTTGCCTTTAAATAATTAAACGCAAGCTTAAATCCCACTGTCGCAGAGGCTTCGTGCTCGAGGAGCCATGCCTATTGTTTTGGAGAGCACCGTTTCTGTTAGGTAATATATATATATATACAGAAACTGATGCCTCTTTATCTACTGCGAACTCAGCACAAAACAGAAAATTGAAGTGAAAATCAGCATTCGACCACTCGCTCGTTTGCTTTTTCATACATATCAGCAGCATCCTTATACGAAGCCTCCTTCTCGCGGATGACTCCCATGGTCTCCCAGGCTCTCCCACAGCTTAGGTTATATTTTAGACAGCGATTGCAAAGGTCCTCGCTCAGATCGAACTTGGATTTCTGGATGTAAATATCAGCTAGCAGCAAATAGCCTCTTTCAAAGTCATCTGCAAGCTCGTGTGAGTATGGCATCTTTGCAACACGCTTGAGTGCATTGCGCGCTTTGGTTGTAGATTTCTCGAGCATGAAAGTCGTAGACATGCCTAGCAGAGCTGGGAGGTAGTCTTTCTCCTTTTCTAAAATATCAATGAATATTTGCATAGCCTGGTCGATTTTGGATTTGGATCGAGTCGCCAATAAGATGTATGCTTCTAGTACTTGAATCTTGAGGTCGAGTTCATCAGGGAGAATGAATGTCCTCAGTTCCTTGAAGAGGTGATCTGCAACCGCCGCGGCCTCCGAACTATGTTCTAGCTCCACGCTGTCGTCCCACCTGTAATCCAAAGCTAGTAAAAGGTAAGCTCGGGCGGATATATATTGCTGATATGATCACGTTTCAAGTCGCACAAACACAGGCTTGGTTGAGTCGCTGCACCCCGCTGAGTCTCATTATCTGGATTTAGGTAAAGTTCGATCATATTTATGAGGGCGAGAACACCCCACTTACCATCACGTCTGGCTAGGTTAAAAAATTTCACCGCTTCGACAACATCATTTGTATATCGACAGTGTAAACCTTTGCAGTAGTTCAAACCAGGGTGAGAGAGCGCGCGAGCATTTGAGCATTCTGCAAGTTTCAGAAATCGAGGAACGTCATCGAGCCTCCCAGCACGGCGCAACAGCTTAATTAATTTGCTGAGGGCTAAGTAATTATTTGGTTTCTTTTCCAGGAGCTTGAGGAAGTTTGCGGTAGCCGCATCATGATCCTTTTTCTGGAAGAGGAGGTCAGCAAGAAGCATGGCGCACTCCTCGTGATTCGCATTCACCCTTAGAAGGGCAGCACATTGTTGTTCACAATTATCAAGATGCTGCTGCTTGAGCCAGAGCCTTGCGAGTTCGAGCATGCAGACTTCATTTACCTGATTGAGTGCCATCATAGAAATTGTGCAATATATTGATTGTGCGGGGGATATTTCTGATCAAAACACTGAAACTCGGCTGACTCTGTAATTGACATTGTCTGCTCTGAGCGCTTCCTGGTAAGACTCGATGGCCTTATGCTCAAGTTTGTCCTCTTTCAAGTAAAACAGGGCAAGCTTGCGACAAGTCTCGGCCATTACTTTCTTCTGCTCGTTCAAGACCTCGGGAGGTTCCATCGTTGACCGAGTTCGCTCTAAAACTGTCCGCTGCAAATCACGAGCTCGGAGAAGCGTCTGTGAAATAGAATGATCTGCGCCAAACATGTTCTCCTCGGCATCTTCATCACCCTCGCTCTCTTCGGCACGGAGAAACACCTCAGCGAGCAGGAGCAAGGACTGGACATCCCGAATCATCCTAGGAAGCTCGGTCGACGTGCCCATTGGCTCTAGCGCGTATGTGAGGACCTGAACGGCGCTGCCATATTTTTTCAGCTTGACAAATAGCCTGGCAAGATCGTGCCTCAAATGGATATCATCTGCATGAGCCTGTAACGCTGTAACGTAATAGTCGGTGGCTTTCAAATAGTCATGCGTAGAAATGAGAGCGCGGCCAATTTTAGCAGCAAGTGATGCGTCACGTGGGTCGAGATTATGAGCTTGCTCGTAGGCTTCAATGGCTGCTTCGGGGGCCTGGATATGCATGTATGCAGCACCAAGGCGCTCGTAGGACTGGGCACTAGGGTCGAAGCCAACCAAGTCCCGAAAACATTGTGTGTAAGCGCGCTTGTCGTGTCTCACGCTAAGGTAAAAATTAGCCTTGGCCTGCTGGGCGTGCACATATGCAGGCGACGACTGCGGAACCCCGTTTAACATCTGAATGGCACCATCAAAGTCGTTGCGTTTTATTGCAAGTAAAGAATTGGACATCAGGACCCTGATTTCTTCAGAAGTGCCTCGGAATCTTTCCTGTGCCTCTGCTAAGATACTCATCGCCTCGTGGAATTGGGAGAGAGTGGCGAGGATGTCTGCAAGATCCACGAAGACTGCCGCACGCTCTGCATGGGGAACAGACCCTGGGACACCTGCTGGGATGCCATCTCGAACACCCGGAAGCCGTAGTGCTTCCTGCAGAGTTTTGAGAGCCTCGTCGTGATTGCCCTCGTATGCACAAAGTCTGGCTTTGACCAAGGCGTATGAGGGGGCCTTGCGCACCTGAAAGTCACATGCAATCGCTTGTTCCAGTGAGTTGGAGGCACCCCGGTGGTTGTCCTGGGCGAGCGCTAGACGAGCCATAAGGAGGTGAGCCGCAGCAGATTGAGAGTCAAGGCTTAGGGCGAGATTGAGAGTTCGGGTTGCCGCTTCTAATTGCCCTACGGCAAGACGCGCGTGCGCCACCAGCAAATGGGCCTCAATTAACCCAGGGGCTTGCGCACTAACCCGCTCAAGTATCTCGATACCTCTATTGACCGCCCCAGCGGGGCTTGACCCCAATTGTGCACGGGCGCTCGAAGGATCCTGGAATCGCAAGTGCTGAAGGTACTCCTTGGCGAGCTGAATCAGAAAGTCTGGGTCTAGCCCATAAAAGTTGTTGAAAATGCTCGACACACTCCGATCTGTCAATCCCCGAAAGTGAAGTTTTTCTGCTTGCTCAAGCAACTGAACATGCTCACTTGCATCTCCACTGCGTCTCCAGGCAATCAGTGCTTTGAGATAAGGCAACTGTGGCGACTGGTCGATGGAATCAGAAATCGCCGCTATGAATTCCAATTGTTGTTCTGCATCCTCCAGTTCTCCAGTCATAACCTGGCAATAAATCGTGCCATACAGTGCAGCGAGGTTAGTTTCATCACTTCGCCCCGCCTCTCTGTACATCTCCATCGCGCCAGCATAATCACCAAGCATGGCCTTCTCGTGAGCCAGCTCTGCAACATACTCTGCCCTAGATGGATCTAATGTAATTGCTTTTTCGCAAAATTGGGACAATAACCCCAATATCTTTGCTCTTTTGCCCGACACGCGGCTCAGAGAACGCGCTGTCTCAAAAAAGAGCTTTGCATTAACACCCTCGTAGCGCTCCATGGACTTTGAAAGCAACTGTAGCTGAGCCACCGCTGTCTCTTCGTCTACCTTTTGTGTCATCTGCATAAGAACATTGAGACGCAAAGCTTCCATGGACCTCTCATTTTGCTGGAGAACACGCTGGATCATCTCCATAGCCTGGTCCCAGTCCCCCAGAGTTGTGAGGATTTTAGCTTTTTCTAATAGTGCCGGTGCCCAGGACTGTAGCGCAACAGCTTGGTTTAAGAAGTCCAACGCGCGGGGGTACTGCTTAGCCATTTCATAGTAACGTGCGCGAGCCTGAGCAAGTATTCACTCATTTGCATCAGCATATGTCGGCATTGAATTCTCAGAAATTGCAGCAACGAAGGCAGACTCCGCAGAATACCATGAGACTGTCCAAGTCCCTCGGCGAAATATCAGTGCTGCCTGTCGCAACATCCAAGAGTCTGACAGCTTGGCGGCGTTGCTCAAGCTCCTGACGTGAAGAACTGGGAGATGATATCTCAACCCACGCCCATAGCACTTGTGCCTGCTTTTGCATCCCTGTCTGTGCGGCCTGATCAATAGAAGACAGTACCTACAAGGGCAAGTGGCATATATACACGGCTGCGAGCGTATATTTGGCCACGTTAAAGCCATACTCTGAGGCATTCCTCACATCGGACACAGCAGCAAGCCCGCTTCAGTAGGTTCCGAGACTGATTGAGCCACACACATGCTTGCTCCTCGTCGACGCTATGAAGACCAGAATACCAATGGAACTGGGCTGCTAGTAAGAGGCTGGGTTCAGATGCACGCTCTGCCTCGCTGGTCGCTTGGCTAGACAACGCGTCCACCTCCTGGTAATCAACGTGTTCTGCAGTCTTGTGAAAAAATAGGAGTGCAACAATGGCAGGCAACTCAAGATCCCGTTTCGACTTAAGAGAACTCAGCTCCCTCAAGGCCTCACCTAAACGGTTCTTCCCACTAGACCCGCTACTCGCGACAAATCCCACAGCAACCGCCCGCCACCAATTTATAGTGCTGGAGTCCGAGAGCCCTTTGGCCAACATCTTGTTTGCCTCGTGCTCCAGATGCCTACGCCATTTTCAGGGCTTCTGGGCAACCCCCCCCCCCCCCACACGCACCCCCAGAGCCCTTGGCGTGCATAGTAGGACAACAGCGCCGGGATCAATGAACGCGATGAAGATGACATCGTTGCGTTTACGGCTGTTCAAATTGTGCAGTAAAAAAAAGTGCAGATTTAGGGTCGATGTTGAAGTACTTAAGATAGAGCAGTAATTGCTGCTACTTCAGCCGCTGCTGCCTGAGCTGCTGCTGCGGCTGCAGCTCTAGCTTCGTCGTTCATAGGTTGCTCCGGATTCGGATCCATTCTCCCCCTGCAATCGAGCGCGGGGAAAAGGCGCAAACGCGAAGCGAAAGAAAAGAATGCGTGAGGTCTACGCAGAGAGACCGCGCGCTGGGTCCCAAACCTAGCGAGATAGTAAAACCCGACACGGGGAGGCAGCCTAGTGGGGCTGCCCTGCCGTGTGAGGGTGAGCTATCGAGGTTACGCAGTGGCGGTACACCGGCGTCTCTGTTATCCTCACGTCACCTCAGCTGCCGTAGTATACGGGGGCCGGGGCTACTGGACGAACGGGCAGAGGATCTGCCTCACTAGGTCCAGGAAGACTCTCCGTCTATTACAGTGCGGGAGGCAACTATAACAGGGTTAGAAAGTATTAAGGAGGGGAAGGATATTGGGTGGCTCTGTACCAGCGAGCCACTAGGGAGATACAAAACTCTCTATCTCTCCAGTTATAAGCTTTCTGCTTTTCGTTGTCAAACGCGTCTGGAAGAACGAAGCACGTAGAGCCCATCTTGAACATGCTTATTATCGAACCTAGCAAAACAGCGAGAGGCTCCTGTGTCCATGATGGCCTGTATACGCTGAATGTTAAGAGGCATTTTAGACGCGTGCGCACGTGGTAAACAGAGTGACGTCAGAAAAACCTCCGTCGGCGACTTCCGCTCCGAAACCGACATGTCTATCAAGGTCCCCCCCCCCCTCCTCCCCCCTCATTAGCTGTACTAGCACGAGTAATAAACTTAAATCGATCGGCTCGGTAGGTTGGAATCAATGGTTTCGGGCGCATCGGCCGACTCGTCATGCGCGCTGCCGCAGAGAACCCCCGAATCCAGATTGTCGGGGTGAATGACCCGCGCGTACGCGGCGCAATGCGTGGCCCCAATTAGTTTGGCTGAGGATGCCGTGGGAGGATTCGCCTGTCGCAGGTTCATCCCTACTGACTACATGCGGTACATGTTCAAGTATGATACCGTTCACGGGCAGTTTAAGGGGACCGTGGAAGCGGCCGAGGATGCAATTATCGTAGATGGTGAGAAGATCCAGGTTTTTGGTGAACGTGACCCGGCGAACATCAAGTGGTCGTCTTGTGGTGCAGACTATGTGGTCGAGTCGACCGGTGTATTTACATCGACGGCGGCGGCTGGGGTTCACATCCAAGGTGGAGCAAAGAAGGTGGTAATCTCTGCACCTTCCGGTGACGCGCCTATGTTTGTGTGCGGTGTCAACCTCGATAAGTACGAATCTTCAATGAACGTTGTTTCGAATGCCTCCTGCACTACCAACTGTCTTGCGCCCCTCGCCAAGGTAATCAACGACACATATGGAATCGAGGAAGGCCTGATGACCACTGTACACAGTGTTACTGCTACGCAGCAGACGGTTGACGGTCCATCCCAAAAGGACTGGCGCGGTGGCCGTGGCGCCTGCTACAACATAATTCCTTCGGGCACAGGCGCAGCCAAGGCTGTCGGTAAGGTAATCCCTACTCTCGACGGCAAACTCACGGGAATGTCATTTCGCGTTCCCACTGCAAATGTCTCAGTGGTTGATCTCACTTGCAAGCTTCAAGCTGGTGCCTCGTATGACGATATCAAGGCATCTGTCAAGGCTGCCGCAGAGGGTCCGATGAAGGGCATCCTTGCCTATACCGAGGATGATGTAGTCTCAAGTGACTTTATTGGCGATGCGCACACTTCGATCTTCGATGCTAAAGCTGGCATCGCACTAACCGACAACTTCGTTAAGCTTGTATCATGGTATGACAACGAATGCGGGTATTCCAACAAGGTCCTCAACTTGATTGAACACATGGAAGAACACTAATGTACACGGAGTTGATTTACCGTCGGCGAGTCTTAATCTAGTGACTTACTTCACGCAGCCGCCCATTTACTGATGGGGTGGGGCCGCAAAGCACAAGAATTATCGTGCTCGTCGCGCCACCCCCTCCGACTCGCGCCCACGCCGGGAGCAGGTTTTAAAAGCCGCTGGTACTGTCCTAGTCTGGAATTGCAGGTAAAGAAGAAATTAGTGCCAGTGAGTTTGGACAACCCATCATAGCGTGCGCCGCCGCAGAGCAGAGTCGGAATCGAGGCGGATTTCGCTTCTAGATTTCGCTTTTTTCCCAAAAGTGAACTAACAGGGCCTAGGAGACTCTTTTTTTCTGCATACGGAGAATACCCCCCGCAATATTTCCCGCGATCGAGCTAATCACACTTATCGATGGTTCAGGATCGCCGGTAGGGCCGTTGCGCGCCCCGCTGAAGCCGTTTGAGTCTCACGCACACTTCATTTTAATCCGCTGACGCTACTTAAAACAGCCCCCTGAATGGTTGTGTCTCTTTTCCCTCGCTCGCTTCGCTCGCTCGGGTCCCTCCCTCCGCTCGCAATGCCCTTTGTTGAAGTTTAAATTGAATTTTCCCCAAATGGTAAAATCTTGAAGTTGCAAAATTGCCATATCGGAGTCAGGAGACTCTGATGGGGGCTTCAAAGGCCAGGTTTCCAAGAACCAGAAACAGAACTAGAAACAGGGGTCTTAGCACCCACACTTAGATCAGAGACAGGTGCGGTTCTAAGGCCGCTCGATCTCAGCACAGGATTATACAATGACTGCGCTACCGTAAGGTAGCACACTGAGTGTCTTTGGTCGCCGGCGGTGGATACGCGTCGCTGTATCCTCCGCTGTTTCTCTTATCTCGCATCTAGCGGAGGCTGCCTTGGTGCTAACCAGGCTGAGAGCCCGCGCTAGGGGCCCTAGGCTACTAGGGGAAAGCGGGCAGTAATATCTACTTAGTACTACTAGTAGTACTTAGTTGAAGGGCCTTACAATCCTTTGACACGCAGCGGCCCGGAAGAGGCCCCACCCGACCCCGCTTCGCACTCGCCGCCGCCCCACGGGCCCTGCGCCCCCCCCTGGACAGATATGGCGCCAGGCGCGGGGCTCTTAAGGGCGACTAGGTGGGGGGGCCAAGTCGCAAACTCAGCTTCGTTGGGTTTCCCAGGCCTGCGCCAGGCGCGGGGTACTTAAGGGCGACTAAGAGGCGGGCCAAGCCGCGAACTCATCTTCGTTGGGTTCCCCAGGCCCGGGTGGCGCCTACAGGCGCCTAGTCGCGAACTAAGTCCAGTTGGATTTCTCGCGTCCACCGCTACGCGGCCGTGCTCCCCCTGTGGGCAAACTCAGGCGGATGGAGCTAAGGAAGGCCCCAGCAAAGTTTCGCGAGTCATCGAGGGGGATCTCGCGACCGGATGGCTGGCCTGATTCCGCCCCGAGAGCAGAGCACCCTCACCTAGGGCCACTTCAGGCCGCAATGAGTCGAATTTCCCACGTTCGACATTCGTGTTGTAGCCGTAGAAGGCAGCTTGTCATTGATTTACCTTAAACCCCTTTTATACTTGTCCGCCGAGCTCTGATTGTCGATTTCAGAACACCAATCCCAAACCTGCGCTGAGAACCAATTCGTTCGCTAGCTCTCAAGCTCAAACAAGCTCACAGCCAATGCCGCCGGTGATTTCAAGTTAATGTCCCAGGTCTAGTTGCAACTGTGGGATCGTGTGGTCTGGCAAGCCGCTCCATTGGGCTGATTCAGGGGCTGTAGCCTGTGTGGAATCTGAAGAAGACTTGCACAACAATAGCCTCTGCTGCTTCTCAAGACTTTTTATTTCTGCAGTGGAGTTGAATAGGAGTCTGCTTGCTTGAGAGCATCCACAGAGGCTCGTACGAGTCGCCTAGGATAAAATACCCTGTATCTAGGAGATGATGCATGACGAAAAGGGCTATCCGACTAATTGCCGCGCTGCGAGTTGCATGAGCGCATTCAAGTCCTTCAAGGCAGCAGCCTTCGGCGCGCTATTGGGAATCACGTCTATTGTGGTTGCAATGCTATCAATGAGGACCGCAATCTTTTTTTCAAAGATAGTCTGTACGGCCTTGCGTTCCTTGTCTCTAAATTCGAGGAGATTGGAGAGCTCACACACTCGTGTGCTGTTGTTATCTCCCTGCCGCTGCGACATGTCTCCGCCAGCAGTGTGTTTATTGACCTTCGAGGTCCCGCTTTCGTGTAGGGGCTTTTCCCGTCGTCTTTCAAGGGCATGTTTTTCCAAGTGAACGGCCTCTAACTCGCGCCGAAGCTCAATCGTGACACTGGCGGTGTCCGCCGATCTGAGGTCTTGAGAGGACCCCTCCAGGGAAACACGCTGAAGATGGATACACAGCGCGGTCTTTTCATCGAGTTTATTTTCAAGCGCAGCTTGATTCTTGTCGTATGCATCAAGCTCATCTTGAAGCGCCATGATCTGCTCATCACGCTCGTTGAGGCGTTGTGTGAGCGCAATCATTATGTCACGCTGCTTAAGAAGGAGTTGTTTATACCTCTCGACCTGAGCCTTGTCGTGCTCGATACATTCACGCTCGCGCTCCAGGTCCGCAAGGCGGTCATCAATCTCCGAGGCTGTATTTGTCCGCCCTTGACTCTTAACGGTGATCGAGCGCCGGACATCGCCATCGCCGACATCCTCACCGGTTGGCCTTTCAGTACTTATCATCTGAGATGTGAGCTTCATAATCTGCTCCTCAAGCCCACGCTTCTGCTCCTTCTCGCGCATGAATTCCTTTGACCGTGCCTGGATCAACTCGACACTGGACTAAACAATGGCCTTGCGACGCAGGACTTTGTACCTCAAGGGCGCGTATAGCCGCCATCTTATCTTCCTCCGCGCGCCGACGGCGCTCTTCGAGCTCCAACAGCCGACGTTGGTCGACAACATTCCGATTTCGTTCCTCAAGTTCGGCCTACATATAAGAGAGTTCGTATCCCGGAACTCTTATCGCGCGTTTGCAGACACGCACCCGAAGGCGACGAAGCTCGCGCTCGTACTTTCGAAGAAGAGAGGCTTGATCAAGATCTTCATTTAGGCGCGGAGCATTGGTAACTCGTTTGGCGCGAGTTGCGAACTTGAGTGTCGATAATGTTTCTGAGGATGCCTCGGCCGCTGGCGATATGGTCGCGAGCATGGTCGTGCGACAGTTCCCCCCAAGGGAGTCTTCTAGGAGGCGGGTGAGCTTCGAGTCGCCTGAAAGGTGTACAATCCAGAGATCATTGTTAATCCACAAATATCTAGAGATCTAGTGGATGAACAACTTCTCACACAAAAGCACGCGATTTCTACGAACGAACAGAATAAACTTTCGCGCGCATATTTATAACTCTGCCCCTAAGGCACTTCACTTCGCCGAGCAGTCACGGTATGGCACATGCTTGCGCATGCCACCTTTTTGTGATTCGCATAGAGCGGCAATAACCTGATTGTAGGAGCTGAAGTTCGTGAGCCACAAATCACTCGTGGGTCGCTGGGCCACACGTTTCCAAGTGCAGAGAGGGAAGCGTTAATCTTCTTCGATTCCTCCAGGCGTTGGCCTGTTGCGCCGCTCACGCGGACGCGTTCACTGCCAGCGAGATCTACCAGATTTAGCTTGCCGACCCTAGAGACCCGTGTAAATCCGTCTACGCGGGTTGCCACGCTGTGGTGCGCCGAAATGTCTGCTTAACACGATTCTCGAGGCGTGCGAGGGCCTGCTCCCGCTTGAGACCTGCTGATCGCATTGCTCGAGCAAACTCGTCGGGGGCCATTTCCCTGCCATCTTCGTCCACATAAACAGTCTCGGAGTGCTCAACGATGACCATGAAGACAGCATGTGACCTATGGTGTCTGGCGCATGCGCAACACAGAGGTAAAGAAATATGTATATATCAAGCACTATGCTCCTTGCCGCGAGGAAAAGTCGTTCATTTTCGTTGCGCCCGTCGCACGGACGCGGTTGGCGCGATCCATTAGCGCGTAAACTTCTGAGGGCTGGCGGACAACCCATTCAGACAGCCCATCCACATAGACACCGCGCTTTGGGTCTTCGCGGATGGCCAGGGCCTCGA